GTCTAGTATCCACTTATGAGTGAGTATATACCCTGTGTGTCTTTATGCTTCTGTGATATCTCACTCAGGATGATTTTTTTTTCCAGTCCCCACCGTTTACCGGCAAATTTCATGATTTCCTTGTTTTTTATTGCTGAGTAATATTCCATTGTGTAGATGTACCACAATTTCTGTATCCATTCCTCAACTGAGGGGTATCAGGGTTCAGGGTATCAAAGCAGATGCTGAGACTCATATCCAAACTTTGGGCAGAGAGCAGGGAATCTTATGAAAGAAAGGGGAGATAGTAAGACCTAGAGAGGAGAGGAGCTCCACAAGGACAGCAACAGAACCAAAAAAATCTGGGTACAGGAGTCTTTTGTAAAACTCATACTCCAACCAAGAACCATTCATGGATATAACCTAGAACCCCTGTACAGATGTAGCTCATGGCAGTTCAGTGACCAAGTGGGTTCCAGAGTAATGGGAACAGGAACTGTCTCTGACATGAACTGATTGGCCTGCTCTTTGATCAGCTCCTCCTGAGAGGGGAGCAGCCTTACCAGGCCACAGAGGAAGACAATGCAGCCTATCCTAATGAGAACTGTTAGACTAGGATCAGAAGGAAGGAAAGGAAAACCTCCCCTACCACTGGAGTTGGGGAGGAGCATGGGTGGATAAGAGGTAGGGAGGGTGAGATTGGGAAGGGATGAGAGAAGGAACTACAGGGGGGATACAAAGTGAATAAACTGTAATTAATAAAAATAACAAAAAGAAAAAAAATTGCCCTGCATAAAACTACGTTTATTATACTGAGCAAAACTATGAACTTTCCAATTTGAAATATCATAATTCAACAAGTGCTAAGATTGAGTAAATGAAGACGATCTGCATTAGCCTATTGGCTGCATTCCACACATCACTATAAAAAACTCTGCAGCACTCTTGTTCAAGTTTAAGGACACTCTAGTAAATTAATCTATGACTAGGATTACTTTAACATAAGTACAACTGTCAAACTTCAAGCTACTTTACTTAAAAATTTTTACTGAAGTTCTAACCTGCTTTATTTAGTGCATTTGAAACTGTTATATTCTTCAACACATTTGTAAGTTCATAGCTAATTCTTGTAATTTTCCTTATAAAATAAGAACCTGCCTTGTGATTGCTTCTGTCAAATGAAAGCCACTGTTATAATGCATAAATGGATAGAATTCACATGTTCCTTAAACATCTCCTTAAAAGAAAAACTAAAAACATACATATACATATTACTTATGTATTTTAGAATAATCATTTATAATCTTAATCACTACTGTTTCCAAACCATATTGTATTAATAAGAATATGCAGGTAGATAAAACATTTATGAACATTAGCATGCTACTGACTGATGAAATCTACTTTGCTAAGAAACGCTGAAATCCACTTATACCATTACGTACCTTCTGCAAACGAAAGAATGTCTCCAACACCTATAAAATCTAAACCTTCAGTAGCTGTTCCACCAACCACGCACCATTCAACCACCACGTGCCCCAAGCTGCCTCCTGTCCTGTGGATCATCAGTTCCACTGAGGTGTGTGGCTGTTCTGGCACATCCACACACAAACCGTCCTCTGAGGTATTGGGATTAATACTGTAGATAATGAATACTCCAAAGGCATCACCATTCAGTCCTATGACCACAGCAGAAGTATTCGGATGTCCTATGGTTGGCTGGTTTTTAAAACTGTCTGTGATGTTCATTAGGTGAACTTCAAGGAGAGAAATTAGAAAGCTTTCATCCATCTCTGGAACAGTGTCAGGAAGTATGGCAACAGTGAGATTTGCAAACTCATCACCTTCCAGCATCAGGGCCTGCTGTCTTGTCACAGCCTCATAGTCACTACCCGCAGCTGCCTGGCCACTAAAAAGAGAGGCCACCCTGGTCATGTTCTTCTTGTAGGTCTGGACATCTGAGCTGTTCACAGTGAAGCTGACCCATGATGTCATCCAGAAGCACTGAGGACCATCAGCAGCTCTGACAACTGAGAATGCTGAACATGCATGCTCTCGGAGACACAGAGTGGCACAGGTGGACTGAGCCTCCTCCCCTGTAGAGACATTCACCCACGTTTTCCAGAGTGGCTCTGGCATCCCTTGAGTTGGCGACTCATAATAGGATAATACATCTTCTCCTTTCTCAACCGCGAGAGCCACTACATCAATATCAGAAGTACTGTAGAGCAACAGCAGGCGGCCAAAGTGTCCTCCGCTAAAATGTGGAGGGCAGTGGAAAAAGCAGGTTAACCACACAGATGACTCTGGAGCTGCTCACAGAAAGCAATGCTGACCATGGTTCTGAACAGCGCTTTTAGTAATATTTTAAATGCCAGTCCTAACACAACCGTAGTTCTAATTATGTTTGTCTTCTAGTGTGAACAATGCTGGCTAGTTTTCAACCAAATAATGCTTATTTTTGATCATGCTTATGAAAAAAATTTTGCAAGGTAGGCAAGTTGTGTCTATTTCAGAATTTCCAGACCTAATTACAAAATTTTCACTATTATATTTCACTGAAAAAATAACAATGACAGCAAAATGAACGTATTTAGAGAAATAGAACTATTTGGCTACAGGTCCCTCAACTCTCTATGCTCTATTTCTGAAGGAGGGCAGTGACCATTATGCTCCCTACAAAAGAAATGCAAGAAAAACCGAACCTAAAAGTCTGCTTTTCAAGCAATAACAGCGTCTAAGAACAAGCTGTATTCAGCTTCTAAGCAGAATGTACTCCATAGTAAAGCAGTAGATTTTAGTAGCTAGAAAGCACAATGGTGTAAAAGTCATCTTTATTTCATCAAGTAACAAATATGGTTAAGTCTGTCTGCCAATATACATAATCCAATTATCATAGTATAACAATCTATGGAATGAGTTGCAACAGATGAAAAATGTGAATCTAAACTGTTGAGTTATGGTAGGATCCTTCCCCAGCCCACACTCCCATGACACGGCAGCCGGCACATGTACCTTCTCCTCACAGTTATGTTAGCATAGGAACTTCTCTCCAGAGGCTCTTGGACACGATAAAGAGGCTGAACAAAGGCTACTGAACCGTAAGGGTTATCATTGGCAGGAATAACAATATTTGCCACTCGATCTAGCCCAATTGTACCTCCAGCAGAGGCATCAGTTAGTTGCACGTGGACAACCTAAAAACATAGTGAAAACGTCCTTAACAGCATCCCAGTTCTGAAATGAATGTGCAAGAAAACATCAAACACATCTGTATAATAACAAAATACAAAGAAATGTACATGACCTCAAAGAACTGACCCAATAACACTCAGACGCTAACACATAACAAAATAATACGTGATCAAAATTTAATAGTAGAGCACAATAATACATAAGAAACACAGACTGTTCAAATAGCTTAGTCTTTACTTACATGGTCAAGGGAATCAGTTTTTAAATTTAAATTTTATTTTTAATTAAATGTTCTAAATATAATTAAAGTAAACTAAATTTTCAGTAAGTAAAAATTTAAATTTTAATTAAGTTTAAAATTAATTAAAGTAATTTAAATTTAAATTAAAAACATAATTTTATGGTTATCATTGTAATAATATTATTTTCAAAAACTAAGCCTTTCTAACATAGGAAACATATATTGTATATCTGTTTCAGTGGTAAGTGAATTTTTTCTGCAAAACTTTAAAGAATCATTGCATAATACTACCTAAGTTTAGAAAGAAGGAAAGAAAATATATTACATGTATTAATTCATGGTTAATATTATTAAAGTGAATAATGGCATAATTAATTATGAAAATAAATGTTATAGACTTCAGGTACAGTTAAATAGAATTGTTATTAAAAGGAATATGAGGTCTAGACTTTAATAATACTAGAATTTCATAAAATAAAATTATCTATGGTAATATGCTAGTGGTTATTATTTGCCATATTGCATTCTCATCATGAAAAATACTAAGAAAATGGACCTAGTATGCGTGTTATAAAAGTAGAAAAAGAATAGGAGGGTGAGTCTGTGGAAAATCAAACTCTACACTTAATTACAACTGGCTCACACTCAGAAGGAGACAGAGATACAAGCCAGAGTTATATGAAACAAATGTTGAACATTTATGATATACATACATACATATACACACACACACACATACATAATCACTTAGCAGAAGTGCTTTAAAACACCCCACAGGTGCACACACAAAAGCAATTTTCAGCTGGCAAGCTGGCCTGTTGACCACACATTCCTAGACTGTTCCTGATCAGAAGAGTGTTCTGTCGCATCCCTACAGAAACCACGTATCTGTTGTTCTCAGAGCAACAGTTATCTGTTCTAGTCACTAGACAAGGCACAGTTTACAATGTCATTCTAGGCTAGTCCGTCCTCTCACCTCTTCCATCTCCGGGACGTCGTCGGCCAGGACCTCTAACAACAAGGTTTGAATGGTTTCCCCAGGGGCAAAGGCCACACTACCCGAGACAACTCGCAGGTCGCGAGCAGCAAGCTGTCCATTAATGGTGGCAACCCACTCAACAGTAACATTGCCGAGTGTCCCAGAATTTCGAATTATTGGCAGCTTTACCCTCACTGAGTTAAACTCAGGTTCCTCTACAATAAATTTAGTATTCTGAAAACCTGAAGGGCAGACAGAACAGTTGTTTTTAGATACAAAGTGAAACTGTGACCAACTAAGCCCAAGCCTGGGCCTCTGGGAGAAGCAATTCTCCCGTTAGCACCCTACCAGTTTAGCAGCGTGCTGTGACACAAGCTGGGCTCAACACCAGTGTTCCCAGAAACATTTTATTGTGGTAAAAGCAGAGAATGGGTGTCTTCAGGGGCAGGTGTTTGCCCAGCATGAATTCAATAAGGCCAGGGAGTGCTTCAGCCACTGAAGGGCTAGCATGGGCTACAAAGGTAGTTGCTATTTTGCTTCCTGGCTGACATTATAAAGAAGGGACTCCACTTAATCATTTTTTCCTTCTCATACAGAGAGTTAAGCAACCCAAATAGAGTTGAAATTTTGTTAATTAACCACTTAAAAGAATTATATAAAAGTAAAAGGTGGGCATGATATCCACACTTATCACCCAACATTAAGGAAGCTAAAAAGGAAAGTCTTGGGCTCCGGGACAGCCCATCTGCCATGGGGAGCAAGACATTGTCTGCCAAAGCTCAGAAAAGAATTTACAGAACAGAACTAGGAGCCAGGCATGAGCCAAAAGCAAACAGGTTATGAGTGTCTCTATGCTAAAATGTGTCTTCATTTCCTAGGTAACCATTAACCTGCCAGGAATCTTAAGTATAATACCAAAAAAAAAACAAACAAAAAAAAAAAAAAACAAACAAACAAACAAAAACATTGGTCAAATCAATCTTAAATAAAGAAAAGGTCACCTGTAACTTAGAGAGTAAAAGAGTTAGAGAACTTAGTCTGGTTACCGAACAATCCATAGGGGTCATCAGAAGCCTGTATAGTAACGATGGCCTCTGTTAAGGGCCCCAGTTTGGCTCCTCCTGTGGTCTCATTCAGCAGTTGCACAAGGAAGGACTCTCCCAGCTCCGGATAGATGTCATTAATGATGTATACCGGCACGGCTTTACTGGTTTCCCCTTCTAGCAAGACCACGTCTGATGAAGCTATACTGTAATCCTCACCTGCAAAGACCAAAAGAGAAATGTGAAAGCTTACTGCAGAGTTCCACATACTAGGGATGTGCCATGTCAAACGTCATGGTTACACCTGGGGAAATGCTTTTGGAGGATGTTAGCTGCGTTCATTTGAAAGAGAAAAGTAGTATTTCTCAAACTAGAAAAGTAAATGTTGGGTAATAGAGATCGTCCTGTGTTTTTATGCTCATTGGCTAATAACAGTTTCCTAAGAAATTCATAACGTATGTATAAACAAACAAAACGCAAAACAGAGAGACACCAATGACTTTTCATTGTGATTTTTAAAAAATGTGCACAAGGCTGTCAGAACAAACCAGAACTTGCATCGTTGTGTGTAGGAAGACAAGCTGCACAGTTGTCCAGATGCCACAAGCGAGCTGGCACAGCTGGAGGAACCCCCTCAAAACTGGCTTAACAGAACTGCTGAGGACCACCCTGGGAGGGGAGAGGAGCATGCCCTATAGGGCCTCAAGGCTGATTCCTTCCGACACTCATCACTGCTGCCTACCACAAAGGGGTGTGCCTAGAGGCAGCCACACATTCCTAAGGGGTACTCATCACAAAATGTGCACATACAGACTTGGGAACTAGAGGAGCATGGTTCTTATTTTTCAAACAATAATAATGTCCAGTGATTAAAAAAAAATAAGCATGCAGAGTGGTTAAAGGCTAGGCTCACAACCAAAAAAAAAAAAAAAAAAACACAACAACAAAAGGCAGTCCTGTCCCTATGAGTGAAAAGACATAGGTTCTAATGGGTGCTGTCTGGCAAATTACCCTCTATAAGCTGAAATGCCATTACTAAGAAGGCAGTGGCCTATTCAGCAATGAAATCATTTTGCTTTTATATAAATTGTTATTGCTAAACACTGTCTTGTCTGTGCTCTTCATAAATAAATGAACAGGTTAAGATAATGGGCTCCAGAGACAACTCAGTTGAAATTCCTGAAACCTGTTTGCTCATTTCTTCCTGTGTCTCTGCCCATGAATTTCTCTCAGAAAATGGTCATGGCATCTTAGTTTGTTCTTCCTTAGTTTATGCACCTCCCACCCATCAGAGCTTTTTAATTTATATATGCTTTTACTATGAAAGTTCACAAATTCAAAACTTTAGTGTCATAGATAGATGAATGAGGTATATCTGTATCTAAAAAGGTATAAGTATTGGGAGCTGAAGCTGTAGCTCAGCAGGTAGAATGGTTGTCTATCACACACAAGGCCTGGGGTTTGATCTCTGGCACTGTATAAACCCTGTCGTGGGTGCATGCCCAGTAAAGCTGACATTGTTGACGAGGATCAGAAGTTCAAGGCCATCCTCTGCTACATAGTGAGGATGAAGATATCTTTTGCTACATAAACTCAATCTTAAAAGAAAAGAATGTGGGTGGTGAGGGATGAGTGTATATGTATGCGTGTGCGTGTCCGTGTGTGTGTGTGTGTGTACTTAGGGGTGTGTGTGGGCATTTAGGGTGTGTGAATGTGTGATGTGTATTTGTGTGTAAGTATAGGGGTGTATGCATTTGGTGTGTGTGTGTATGTGTGCATTTGTCCTGTCTTCCAATCACACCCTTTCGACAGCTTCAAGACACATGTGTCAGTATAATGTTCTTTTGAAATGTATACACCTTACCCTTGTTCATTCAAATGCTGATCTCCCCCCCCCCCAACACACACACACTGGTTTCAATCCGGATACTGCATTGTGATACTTATTCTAAGCATCCTGTGTAAACAGGCCAAAATAAAACAACTAACCACAATGTTGTGCAATGGGGGGAGCCAGAGGACAGGAAAGAAGGGAGGAGCCAGAGGGCAGGAAATGAGTGGGAGGAGAAAGGGCGAGAGGAGAGCTAAGAGAAGATTGCTGGAGGAGATCTTGGACTGATGTGAAGAGATGGACTGGACCTAATATATCACTAAAAGCAAGTATGATGTGGGTGAATCTAAATGTTAGGAAACTATGAGGGCTTGGAGTAACTACTACCCAGCATTGTGTTCTAGGTTAATTAAATAAATCCCAGTGTCTGTGTGGTGATTTGGGTATTCAGCTGTTTAGGATTAACAGCAGCATTTCTAAAAGATAAACCAATAGTAAATATTAATCACCGCCTACAACACACATGGCACTTTGGAACCTCCACTGCGCATTACATGTGTTCTCTCTTTTTTTGTCTTGTAAGCTTTTCTTTTTCTTTTTATAATTTTTTTTATTTATTCACCTTGTATCCAAACTGTAGCCCCCTCTCTAATCCCCTTCCAATCCTATCCACCCTCCCTCTTTTCTCCCTATGCCCCTTCCCCAGTCCACTGATGGGGGGTCCTCCTCCCCTTCCCTCTGACCCTAGCCTATCCAGTCTCATCAGGACTGGCTGCATTGTCTTCCTCTGTGACCTGGTAAGGCTGCTCCCTCCTCAGTGGGAGGTGATCAAAGAGCCAGTCACTGACTTCATGTCGGAAACTGTCCCTGTTCCCCTTACTAGGAGATAACCTAGAACTCTTGCACAGGTATAGCTCATGGCAGCTCAGTCTCCATGTATTTTCTTACCAGCTACTGCAGTTACTGGCACAGCTTTAAACTTAACAGAAATATCTGCAAACGTCCCTCCTGTTCGAGTCACATTGATAATTGGTCCAGCATGATTTTCTTCTACACGAACAATCGCTGCTGACAGCTGCACAGTTCCAAATGCATCATCATTGGCAACAATAATGACATGGGCCACAGTTTCCACCTTGGGCCCAAGGCGTGGAGAACATGGGACTGAAACACAGAAGGGGTGGCATACAATGAGTCTCTAAGATGTGATAACAGCCACTGAAGATCCAACAGAATTCTCATTCTCTGCCCTATTAGTTTTTCAAAGTTTACCTGTCAGCCTTAATCTAGGCATTAGAAATACAAAAACAAGGTAAATAGGAAATCTGTCTTCTCTTTTAAAACATCCTCTAGGAATTATAAACATCATCAAAGGAGCAGCTGTACTGCAAGAATATAATAAGCATTAACGAAATTGATGATCCCATGTGCTAAATGACTGTATTGATTATTTAATATTGCCCCGGTCTTGTTTCCATGAAGTCATTACAATTGCTCTGTTCTTTGTAATACTCATTCAATGCAATTTGAAGCTGTCTTTCTGCATAGGTTTTACTCATGTTTGACTCATACTAAACTATTTTTCTATATTTAAAAAAAAAAGGACTTGATGATCCAAGTATCATCAATTTATGTGGCATTAATTGACTGCTAAGAGCCTAGAGGATTACCTTTAAGTTACTGCCATGCCATTACTAAAACAAAATTTCAAGCCAAAAAAAATTGGGTAGGAAAGTGCTAGATCCCAAAGCCTAAATCCAGCTACAAACAGTCCTCGCCTGTCTGTGGGACACACACTGGCACTCATGCCCCATCTTACTTGAATGCCTGCTCTCCCAGTGCCTTCTTTCCCTCCTCTTGCATTTCCTACCACTTAGTAATCACTGTATTGATCTCTTCTTTGAAATAAACTTCCTAAGCTTTCACATAAAATATTCACAGTATTTATCTTTCTACACATGGCTTACTTCACTTATAATAGCATCCTCTAGATCCATCTGTTTGGTTGCAAAACACAATTTTATTCTTTATACAATTAATAACATCCACATGCAAATAATAATATAGGTACCCTTTTTTTTCTATCTCTCTGTTGATATATTTGAATTGAATATATGCCGTAGTTAGGGTTGCTATTGCTGTGATGAAACAAGTTTATTTGGCCTACATATCCTGAGTCACAGTCCATTTAAGGGAAGCCAAGGCAAGAAGTCAAAACAGGTAGGAATCATGAGGCAGGAGCTGATGTGGAAGCCATGGAGGAATGCTGCTTACTTGCTTGCTCCTTATGGCTTGCTCAGCCTTTTCTCTTATACAACCCCAGATCACCAATCCAAAGATGGAACCAACCACAATGGGCTAAGCCCTACCTAATCAATCACTAATTAAGAAAATGCCTTACAGCTGGATCTTATGGAAACATGTTCTCAACTAAGGTTCTCTCATCTCAGATGACTGTGGTTTGTGTCAAATTGACAGAAAACTAACCAGCACAATGCATTTGATATATTTGTATATGTAATTGATATATTTGGATTGCATATATGCATGCATATACATAGACACATACATTTCTACAGATATGGACTTAATGCCACAAAGAAGTTAATGAAATTACCTAAGGTCTTATGTTAGTACCTGTCAGATATAACCAAGAAATAAACTGTAAAGATTCATTTCCTCCTTCAAATGTGAAGAAGGAAAGGCAGTTATCCACAAGTGGGCACCCTACTTTGAAAAGTGCTCTCATACTGCAAACATTCACAAAACTTGATGACTGCATTCTAAGTACATTCTAAGTAAGGCTTACCAGAGGTTACACTGGTTTTCATCTATTAAAATCTGAGTCTGCCTTACCCTCTTCTCCTCCCTGACTCTCTTAACTTTTCACTTCTCTACTCTTTAGCCTACCTAAGAGCAGATCTGTATTACTTCATAAAAAGCATCCTACTTCTCCCATCTCAACAACACAGTGATTCTCTGAATTCTGCTAATGCCATTCTACTAATATCTGCTCCATTTCTGAAGGCTTACAACACAGCAGACACTGTATCACTTTACATACATTTTCACATGCAATAGCCCTGATATAGGCACATAATGAATAATGAAATTATTTACATTACTATTATTTTCTAATTATAGAAGGAAAATAGACTTTTCGAATATGTCCAACAGCTTGTTATTATACGTTGGAACAGTTACCCAACATCAGCAAGGCAGCTCCACACCACTGTCATGTGCAGTCATCCTTTTTGGTTTGATCTCAAATCTCAATAAATTGTAAGTTGCTTGAAAGACAATATGTATTTTAAAATTCTTACTTGATAAGCCTAATTATTGGGTTCTATTTCAACTTCTTTGCTGTTATTACTGATCATAAGTTTATCTTAATAATTATAAAAGACTGTTGTTCATCTTGTATAATCTTTACCCAGCTAGCTTTACTCACCTTTAACCTTACCTTTCTTATACGATCCTCTGTTATCTAAAACTTTAATTTTTCATTTTCATAGCCTCATCTTTAATAATAATGACATACTTATACATACTTACTTGGACGACTCTGTACTCTTTCTACTAAAGAAGAATTGAAAAGTTCAATGAACACAGATTCTGACCGTTCTGGTTCGTCATCATCCAGGATTGAAATAGTTATTGTTGCCTCAGTCTGATTAGCTCTGAAAAGAGCTACTCCTGATGCTGATATGTAATCTCCTCCTTGAGATGCTCTAGCTAGATTGGATGGGAAATAAGGTGGTTTGTCCATATCATCTACAGTTGCATATGAGATTGCAACTTCTCCCATAAGGCCTTTCAACCTTATTATTGATAATGTGACATTCTGGGTTGCTTCTTCCACACTAATAGGTCTGGTTTTGTTAGAAAAAATGAACACCCCATAAGGATCATCACTAGCCAAAATTGTCAGTGTGGCATTAGTAAGAACTCCCAAGGAACCATGGGAGACATTGAGGATGGACACGGTGAGTGCCTTGTCTAGCTCTGGCTCCTCGTCCGGCAGTATCTCCACAACGATGCAGGCAGTCCTCTGCCCGATATCAAACGTGACATTCCCAGAAGTGACAGCGAGATCCCCATCTGGGTCAGCGTCCACCTTCCAATGCAGAGTCACTGCAGACAGGGCTCCCTGAGTCCGTGAGACCTGTGGAAGATTTTAGATTTAAGGGGAGAAGCAGGAGCAACGAGCCATGTGTATCATTAAGAACATAAGGATAGAGCCAGAGTAAATCTTATCTTGTCTTTAACTTGTTTTTTAACTTTTACTTTAATTTTTTAAGTTCTCAAGGCTATAAGACTATTGAAGATAGGGGTCATGTGCAACCTACCCCTGGATTCCTCCAGGACCCTTATAGACGAAGAGCATATAAAACTACTGCGGCAGAAAACAGAACCTAATTGTAAAATGTTCAGCTTCCAGGTAAATCACAGCTGTTACCTTCCATGAAGGTACAGTACATACCAATAATAAATCAAATGTGGCTGATGATTTATTATACTGATGCACAAACAAGGTTTTTTTTTTATATATATTTACCGAAAAGCACTGTGCATCTTCCATTGTAAAGAATAGACCAGTTATATTTTTCAGGGAAGTTATTTTCAATATATTTGGCCCAAAGTACAATAAAGTGCAGTTAAAAAAACACTTCTATATATTAAGAATAAAAAACATAAAAAATATTCTAAAGAAATCCTGATAATAATTTTATTTGCATTTAAAATATCATTTTCACCTCAAAATAAAAATGAGTCAATAATTTTATTAAAGTATCAGCCTTTTTCATATTTTTTATCTTAAGTAATTATTCTTCCTAAAGTTAACTAATTAATTTCACATCAGATTATTCAATTATTTGGACAAAGACAAAGAAACCTGTCATTAAGTGTACGGAAGGATGTATTTGCATCATCTTTCTTCATTGTTATACGGTAAGTGAGAAAACTGAGTGGGCAGTGAGCTGTTAAGTCACTTTGAAATACAGTCCTTCTTAATCCCTGCTATAACTTAGCAGCACAGGCACGGGGAAAACTAAGATTAGCAATGTTGCTACTATTCACAAGTATTAGGGATTACCTTTTCTCCCTTGTGAGATGGCATCGGCCCATATGGCCATGAATTCACTTACACTTACTCATAAAGTACTTCCTTCTCAGCACTCACATCCCCCAAACATGGCTTCACAAAGGCAAGTAATCCTTGGTTTCTAAAGAGATCAATGAGTAGAGTGCTCTGCCAACTCAGACTGGATATACACCATGAAAGAACAAAAATTATTTTAAAAATAACTTTCCTATCTCTTTATTATCTATCTATCTATCTATCTATCTATCTATCTATCTATCTATCTAT